AAGCCAATGAGGCTGAACTCTGTACCCCCTTAACTTCTATAGAAGAAAGAGAAGCTTATTACCGTCATAAATTTCTGGCTGACGCCGAGAAGGCTTTGCGTCCTACCAACCCCAATATCCCAGAGGACACAGAGATTACCGACGTTGAGCCTATTAGCGTTCAATATCATTTAAGGTCAAACTTGGATTTGTTTAATCAATACGGCACTAATATTGACAGGATGCCGAGAACCAAACATACCAGTTTCCAACGTGAGGTTGGTGAAAGCAGTAGACCTGCTGTTGATGAAGAAGTTGGTGACCCTGAGCATGAAGCTTCGGATATCCGAGAAGAAGATATCCGGTCTGTTGAGGAAAGCCTAGACCGTCAAGAAAGTGGGGGTGATAGCATCGGTAATGAAAATGTAGAGGGATCAGAAAATCTTGAGGGAGGAGATGATGAGGAGGAAGGCGACGAGACCGACGAGGAAATTGTTGCGGATTTCAATGTTGCGGCCCAGATCGCAGACAAAGAACGTCTCGACGAGGAATATGACTCAGACCAAGATGATGCAAAATATCTAGTACCACAAGAAATCCCTAGCAGTTATGAGATAAATGACTGCGTCGTGGATCCAGTATGGTTGCAGACAGCGACCGAGAAAGATTACTGTCTACATGGTAAACGCTTCTACCGTCTACCTGACGGATATGAACTCAGATTACCGGGCACAGGTCAAATGGCCTTGGACTGTCCTCCCGGCCATATCGTCGTATATGCCAAACATTTTGAATTTGGCTTACGGTTTCCGCTTCACCACTATATTGAAAAAATATTTCGGGCTTGGAATGTATCTATTGCACAGTTAACGCCTCCAACCATTCGCAACATAGTCTCTCTTGTCTGGGTAATGATCTTCATGGACTTTCCCCTTACCTTGAACCTTTTTAGGAGGCTACATTGGATAAAGAGAGACACCCAATCACCTGGGTGGTGGTCTTTGTTTACTGCTCCCGGTAAATGCACATTGTGGCCGAAATTGACCAGTTGCAAGAACTGGAAGAATGAATTTTATTTTATGAGTGTGCCTGACGATTTTACCGTCCGTAGGGCATTTCATCATCCACACAGCATGTTCGAGACCATACGGTCGAGAGCGTTAGGACCGATGGAGAAAAAGGCTTTTAAATGGTTTAATTGTACATATGTTAGGGCTGGTAAGAAGAATAAAGTTGTTCCGGGGGTGTGGCTGCCACATTGTAATTATATACTGGGCAACGTCCCTCTATCTCATGTCGGTCTCTGCCATACCGATGCATTTGGTATGGAAATGTTATTAAATTATCTTTACATGTATTTAAATTTATCTTTACTGTTTGCGCACTTTATCTTTGATAATAATTTCTATAAGTACCCTGCCTGTCCTTTCTTACCTGCATGCGTGTTCCTTAACACACTATATATATACATAGTAATTCTTTCGTTTTCGTTTTTTCGTTTTTTTTTTATTTTTTTTTACCTTTATAATGTTTATTTTCGACGTTCCTTATCGGTTGTGTCTCTCGCCAGGTATTGATAAACTCGACTTCAGCCGGCTAGGCTTGCATCCTGACGGGCGAGTGAAACAACAGTGCCCCGATCGGCCGAGGAAGTCATACGACACTCTCCCCGCCTTTGCCACTAGAGTCAGCAAAAGAAAAAGAACAAGAGTACAAGACATGGCTCCTACTGACCGCGCTACCAGACCTCGCACCCTAGCTGTGAAAAGGGGTGGAGGAAATGCGTCAAAGAGGACTTCTGAGTCCTCCGACCGAGAACAACAACAAAAAAAAAAACAAAAAATCATGACAATGAGGCGGCATCCTTCGAACAGGATGCACAAGGGATTTGGCCGGAAGGGGTAGTTAACCTGGAGGATGAGACCGAAACCCAACCGCTGAGAAAACTGACAGTCACCTTAAGGGACCCGACTGCTTCCAGTGCCGACATCGACAAGCCTCCTCCCAAGGAGACTCCGGCGGTCGTTTCGACGCGCTCTGGCGGTCTCAGCAAGGGCGCTTTCGTCCTTGCCCTTGTCAGCGACTTCATCGAGATTCCACATGTCAGAATCCCGGAAGGAGTTGCTGAGGAATTAGCTGTACCGTTCGGTGCTGCCGGTGATCCATGGCATCCCCGAATCAATGTTAATCGTGGGGAGTCCGTTCTTAGTGACGACCCTAACACTGGCGGGAGCATGGGGTGGAGAATGCTGAAGGATTTGGCAACTCTAGCCGACAGGCCAGCCAATCGCATTGCCGCTCCCTGTGGCCAGCTTATGAACAATATGCTCCGGGTAAGTCATCATTATTACCTTTAGGTGCCTGTCATTTCGACCTTATATCATTATTACTAACGACAATTTCTGTTACCGTCAATTTAGACCGTCAACTCTGCTGTCGAGGTGGTGCCCATGTACCAGCATTATCAGCGCGCCGCCGATAATGCCGAGACCAGGCTGAAGAAGGCTGATGACGCTTGCAAGCTCGTCGTCAAGGAGCGCGACAAGGTTAGATCTGATGTAAAGACCTTGCAAAAGCAAGTGTCTGAGCTGAACAGGAAGCTGACGGACCAGGAGCTATTGCAAAAGAAGGTAGTCAGCCTCGAGCAGAGCCTGAAGGACGAGAGGGATGCTAAGGCTAAGCTGGCCAGCCAAGTTGAGGAGATGGAGCGCGACAAGCCGGGAATCAGGCGCCGAGTCGTTAATCGGTTCCTGCAGACCGACCTCTATGCCAACTTGCTGGTTGACCGGTACACTGCCGGCTAGGTCTCTGCGCATCGCTGTGTGTGCAAAGCGGAGGGGTGGGATTCGACGAAATGGCAGGCCGTCGAGAAGGCCTTTAACGAAGAAATGAACCACTCTCCTACCAGCTATGAGAGTGAGTACTTTGACGAGCTCCCCCCGCATGCTGTGATAACCAATTTAGACCCACGTGAGTTGCCGGAAGTGGAGTTTGATGATGCCCTTATCAGTAGCCCTATTGCCACTCATGCTGGCAAAGATGGGTCTTCTGGTCCCTCCAGTAAAGAAGCTAAAAAAGATCATGTTAACGCGGGTGAATCAACCAAGGAGGCCGACAAGAATTAATCAGGAGGGCAGTCATCTCTGGGCTGTAATATTCATGCTTGTCTGTATCTGTTGTATGCTTCAAACAATTATATCCGTCTGTATTATGTCACATTTTTTCTTTCAATCGTTTTGAACATTTTATTTGCTTATGTATGTACTCGGTACAATTTATTTCTTTCAATCCTTACCGTAATCCTTACTGCCGTGATTATTTTGTTTATGCTATGGTCGTTATTTTACCTTTTAACTAACATTTAATGATTGCCCTCCTTGAATCGCGTTTTAGTTACTCCTTGATTTTTAACATGAATTTACGTTTTCGGCTTTCAAAATTACACTTCTTGGTATTTTATTTGCGATTTAAAATTTTTGGAGGACCTAAATTACACTTCTTGGTATTTTTGATTTAAAATTACGTTATCAGCATTTTCAAAATACATCTTACCAATAATACTTTATTATCAGTATTTCTAAGATATACCTACATCTTACCAATAATACTTTATTATCGGTATTTCTAAGATATACCCTACCAATAATACTCCCCGAGTTTTTCGGCAGAATTTATTCGTAAACAAATTCTGGGAAAACTCTAGAATGCCTGTGCCGAATATCAGATATAAATCATACCGAGATAAAGTATCCAACCTTTGTCAGGCTTAGCAAAGGCAGTGGATCAGACCGCGCTTTCAACTCCCCTTGAGGTCCATTATCATTATTATTATTATATATTTTTTATATTCCCTCACTTGAACGACCGAGTCAGCTAGTTAGGCTGTGATCAGATCGTATCGAAAGTAGGTAATACGATTGTATTTCATAAGTGTTGAAATAGATTACAATACTAGCAAATGTCGTTAACATACGTGTGACAACATGGCATCAAATAGATACATAAAATAGAACATATTTACGTTTCACATGAAATATTTCTTTAACACACTAGCGTTCCAACATTCTTCAGGGGAACACCTTCAAGGGTCATTAGCCGATAGGACCCTTGCCTAAGTGTTTCATATATTTGGTAAGGCCCCTCCCAAGTTGCAGTGAATTTACCCTATGCGTTCCCTTTACCGGTCGCGGCTGTCCTACGCAGAACTAAATCACCATCTTCCATGGGCCGATAATTGACGCGCCGATTATAAGCATGGCTCATTCAGTTTTTGTATGCCGCAGACTTTATGGCAGCTGTCAACCTTACTTCTGGTAGGAAATCCAATTGCTGTCGAAGCAGCAAATCATTTTGACTTTCACAGAAGTGTTGTACCCGAAAAGAAGGTAAGCCCACTTCCGCCGGAACCACAGCCTCGGAGCCGAAAGCGAGGTTAAAAGGGGATTTCCCTGTTGTTTCCCTTGTTGTCGTACAATTTGCCCATAAAATTTCAGGTATCAGATCTGCCCACAAGCATTTAGCGTCTTCTACCTTTTTCTTAACTGCCCCTAGTATCTGCTTGTTAGCGGCCTCAACTTGGCCGTTTGACTGCGGGTGACATACCGCCGCGTACGCAAACTTGACTTTGTATATGCTTAAAAAGTCTTTTACCGGGCTGCAATCAAATTGTGAACCGTGATCAAACACCATTGTTGTCGGCAATCCGAATCGCGTAAAGATGCTTTTCTAAATAAACTTCTTTACCTCACCCGCTGTAATCTTTGCTACCAGCTCTGCTTCTATCCATTTGGTGAAGTAGTCTATCCCCACAATCAAGAACTTACGGCCACCTGTTGCTGACGTAAACGGCCCAATAATGTCCATCCCCCATTGAGCAAATGGGATTGGGTTAAGAATGGGTGTTAGATCATTTGGAGGTTGGTTAATCACCGGCCCGTACTTCTGGCATTTGTCACATTTTTTCGCATATTCCATGGTATCCGCATTCATTGTCGGCCAATAGTAGCCCTGTTTCATTGCTTCTAAGGACATTGACCGACCTCCGCATGATTACCGCAATCACCCTCGTGTATTTCTTCTATCAGCCTTGCCGACTCATAAGCCGTTATACATCTTCGTAGCGGTAACGAAAACCCCTGCTTATACAACAAGCCTCGGAACATGATAAACCATACACTGTCTTTCCGAACCTTTCTTGCCTCCGTCTTGTCGACAGGAAGAACATTATGTACCTTGTAAGCCAAGATATCATCATACCATTCTCGTCCCGCAGTCGTGCAACATACGTCTTTAGGAGGTTGTTCGTCAATACTTCTTTCTTTCAAAACCTCTACCATAACTGTCCTTTCCAAGTCATTGAAGCTTGAACTTGCGAGTTTAGCCAAGGCGTCTGCCTGTGTGTTCATTGCCCGAGGAACCAACTTGATTTCGAAGTATTCTAGACCAGAAGTAACACTCGTGAGTTTTGCCAAATATGTCGTCATACTTGGCTCTCGAGTTTCGTAAGTGCCGTTAAACTGATTTGCCACTAATTGAGAGTTAGTTGTCATCTCAATGCGCTTTGCTTCCGCAGATATGCACAGCTGTATCCCTGCTAACGCTGCTTCATATTTTGCCTCATTGTTCGAGGCTTTGAATTTGAACTTAACGGCATACTCGAACACATCTCCCTGGGGAGAGATCATAATTACCCCAGCCCCTGAGCCGGTTGAAGCAGATGAACCGTCAACTGATACCTTCCATGTGCCGGCATCATCCTCTTCTTCATAATATGACATTTCGACAATGAAGTCAGACAAAGCCTGGGCTTTGATTGATACCCTTGGCTTATATGTAATAACATATTCAGATAATTCGATCTCCCATTTAAGCAAGCGGCCAGACGTTTTCATTTTTTGCAAAGATTTCTCTAACGGCTGATTCGTTAAGATATCAATTGCATGCGCATCAAAGTAAGGACGCAATTTTCGTGCAGCCACAACTACTGCATACGCGATCTTCTCTACTACCGGATACCTTCTCTCGGCAGCATTTAAAACGTGGCTCACGAAGTAAATTGGCAGTTGGATCTTTTGCCGCTCTACTAGGAGCACCGCTGCTACCGTCTTTGCTGAGGCCAAGATATAAAGCTGTAACGTTTCTCCTTGTTCCGACCTTGCGATGGTGGGTAAGGACCTCAAATGATTTTTCACAGCTTGGAACGCCTTAGATTGGTCCTTCCCCCATTCAAACAGCTTGTTTTGTCTCAAAATTACAAAGAATGGTAGGGCTTTATCAGCTGACTTGCTGATGAATCTTGTTAACGCAGCCATTCGACCGGTGAGCTTTTATATATCATTTATACACTTTGGTTCTGGCAAACTAAGAATCGCCTCAATCTTATCAGGGTTAGCGTCTATACCCCTTTCGCTCACCATGAAACCGAGAAACTTTCCTGATCGGACGCCGAACACACATTTCTCTGGGTTCAACTTCATCCGGTAGCGACGAAGGGTTTCAAAAGTTTCTCTCAAATCAACGACGTGATCCGTAGCCAAACGGCTTTTCACAATTGAATCGTCCACGTACACTTCTACATTCCTTCCTTTCTGGTTCGCAAATACCTTGTCGACCAGTTTCTGATATGTGGCCCCTGCATTTTTCAATCCAAACGGCATAGCCCTGTAATAAAAAACTTCGGAATCGGTAATGAATGCCGCCTTGGTTCGATCCGACTCATATAAACTGACCTGATGATACCCAGAGAAAGCGTCCATGAAGCTCAGTAGCGCGTGACCGGAAGTTGAATCTACCAATCTATCTATCCTCGGCAAAGGATAGCAATCTTTCGGACATGCTCTGTTCAAGTCCGTAAAGTCCACGCACATTCTCCACTTCCCTGACGGCTTCTTTACCATGACCACATTCGCTAACCATTCGGGATATGTGCAGGGTTCGATAAAACCGGCCGCTAGCAATTTGTTCACCTCTGATTGAATAGCCTCCATTTTCTCTGTTGAAAAGTTCCTTTTTTTTCTGTCGAACAGGTCTTGCTCTCCTGTCGACATTGAGCTTGTGCACTATGACGTCGGGATGTATCCCGGGCATCTCGTCCGCCGAGAAAGCGAATACGTCAGCACTTTCTCGCAACAATTCCACTAAATGGCAGCGCGTGTCGACATCCATATCGGATCCCACACGCACTACCCTACTGGGCACTCCAGGCTGCAACTCGATCTCGACAGTCTCGCCTCCCGGGGAAGGACGTGGAGCAGTTACCGGCCTAGTATCAAAATTTTCCATAGCCAAGTCATGTGTGGAAGGAATTCATTCTCGCTTGGCTGGTATCCGTTCACTAGCTGGCTGTCGGCCTGGTTGCTTCAGTGCCGATACATAACACTCCCTTGCCATAGTCTGACTACCCCGTACGCGCTCTGTTGATCCCGCGTTGGATACATATACCATGGTTAAGTGGTACGTTGACACCACAGCTTGCACGTCATGAATTAAAGGCCTACCGACAATGGCGTTGTAAGCGGATGGCACATCAATCACCAAAAACTCTGCCATGACATCTCTTAGTGCCGGACCCTCTCCCATTCGAACCTGAAGAACAATGCTACCTTCAGGTCGTACTGTCGATCCGTTGAAGCCTATCACGGGATAGGACACTGGCGTCAAGTATTTTCGGCCAATCCTCATGGCATCAAAAGCCCTAGCAAATAGAATATTTGCGGAACTCCCGCCGTCAACGAGTGTCCGTTTGATATCTGCTCCATTTACCGTCAGTATCAGCACCAACGGATCATCATGAGGGTAAACTATTCCCTTAGCATCCTCCTCCGTGAAAGATATCGAAAGCATGGAAGAAGGCCGAGGTCGTTCTTCTACGCTCAAAGCGTTCACTAGGTGTCGGTATTCCAACAAACTCTTCTTGGCCCCGCTTACGGAACCTCCGTATACCGGCCCTCCCGTGATAACGTCGATTGTTATTTTACGTCCTGTCGGATTACCTCCCTGTCTGAACGTTTCCGCATGATTCTGCCTGTAAGTATCATCTTACATTGACTGTTCCCCCTGCTTTCGGTACTCGGTTTGCCTAGGCTGTGAATTTTGCTGTCGGCTGGGACCTGCCTGAGTACGATACTGGGATAATCGTCCCTTCCTTATAAGATCCTCAATGTTCTCTTTTAGTTGAACACATTCTTCGGTGTAATGACCAACATCTCTGTGAAACATGCAATACTTCTTCACGTCCCGACCCTTCGTTATCATCGGTGCCGGTCGACTCCAATCTTCTCTATTCTGGTTTATTGAATATATTGCCGTTCTCGGGGTGTTTAACTGCGTATAACTACTGTAACGACCCAATCCCCTTGTCGGCCTTCCGGATCGCTGTTGGCCTTGCGGCAGCGTCCTGCTTACCCCACCCATCTGTTAATTCGAGCTATTATCACCTTGCCTTCTGGAGGGCTCTGCCGACGATATCTGACGGCTCGTTTTTAGCAGCTGCTCACTTTTTATGTATTCGTGAGCTTTGGCAAATGCTACCCCTAAGTTTGGGAAACATTTCCGCGACATATATTTTTTGAAGTCGTTGTCACCTAGCCAATTCATCAATGCCATCACGGCAATCTCTTGCTGCAATTTCGGTATAGTGTTAGCTTCATTATTGAAGCGTCTAATGAAATCTCTGAGCGACTCATCCTTTCGTTTTTGAATAGCCATGAGCTCGCCAGATGTCCTTTGTCTCGCACTATTACTTATGTACTGACCTGTGAACAACTCCGCCAGGGTCTCAATGCAGTCAATTGATCCCGGCTCTAAGTTGGAGAACCAATCCGAGGCTGCGCCGGTAAGAGTCGTGGGGAAAACTTTACACCACACAGCATCGGTGTCTGTATACAGCAACATATGACTTTCAAACGCGACCACATACCGCTTTGGATCCCCCTTACCGTCATACGTACAGGACGACATCTTTATTTTCTCCATTTGCTGGTCGAGTACCTCTTGTGTGAACGGAGATATTCTAGGCCTAATGATTGCCCTGACTGCCCGCCTTTCCGGGCCACTAGAGATCTCATGCCGATAAGAACCTGAATCTCCCACCTGGGCGCCTTGTGTGAGTTGGCGCTCGGTTGGTGTGGTCTCTTGGCCACGGCTTCTTGACGGTTGTTGCTGTCCCGCCTGGTTGAACTGACTCTCCAAATTGACTATCAACGGCTTTGTCGGTACCTTATCCCGTATTCCCCCTGCCGTTAACTCGGCTTCCTTTCTTTTCTTAGACATAGCCCGCATGACCTTGGTCGTTATCTCCAGCTCCTCCGGGGTAAACCCCTCCAAGGGATCTGGGGTCACTGCTCTGCTACGGTCAGGTGTTATGGGCCTATTCATTGTGTTACCGTGAAGGAGATGAGTTTCATCTTCGACCATGATTTCTGGTACTATGGTTTTATTCGTGTTAGCATTAAGGACATTGTTATCGTATTGCCGGTTATCAACTTCTGGTACCGGTACTGAAGTTCCCTTACTTCCTTCCATGACTGTGAGAGGTCCTGTTGGACGATAGAAGTTATTACTATCCCCTCCTTCTAGCGCCAATTGTTCCTGCTTGATTCTACTTCCGTCAATGTCTGAGGGCTGGTAATGGTTTACCGTCCAATTGCTCACCTACACAGTCAATACAGATTAGCTAACCCGGGGGTTATCCGAGAATAACCACTCCGATGCTAAAGTTAGTACCTTTGTGAGAAGAAAGTGAAAGAAGAGAAAGAAAATGTTTTAGAGAGAGAGAGAGATTCTACCTCTGAAATGAGAATTTGTTTGGGTATTTATAGGAACGCAACCAAGCAGGTGCCACCTATACAGATAGGTGGCACACCGACCTTGGTACTAGCAGGTGCTTACGCGGCACTAAGCAGCCCTCCACGTGTCAGTGGGACATGCCACATTCCGAGAAGCAGCTCTCCACGTGGTAGAGACTAATGCCGGTAAGGACATGAATTATTCAATAATTAACCATTTCTTTAAACTGCAAGGCACTCTTTTACCGGCATGTTATGATACTACCGGTATATCCCGTACACTAATACACCCCCGCAGTCGAAGCGGGAGGTTTGTGGACGCTTAGACTGTTTCGAAAATCGTCAAATAGAACTTGAGGAAGACCTTTTTTGAAAATACCCGCGATTTGATATTGAGAGGGGACATGTAGAACACGGACTTGACCAAGAGCAACCTTTTCGCGCACAAAGTGGATATCCATCTCAATATGCTTGGTTCATTGATGTTGAACCGGGTTTCCGGAGAGATAAACCGCACTCACATTATCACAATACACAATCGTGGCTTTCTTGATGGGACAATGAAGCTTGAGAAGAAGACTGCGCAACCAACAAGATACAGCCACAACATTAGCTACACCACGATACTCGGCCTCCGCGCTTGATTTGGAGATGGTGGGTTGTCTCTTGGCAAACCATGATATGAGGTTGTCTCCTAAGAAGACACAGTAGCTTGACGTTGACCGTCTAGTATCGGGGCAGCCACCCCAGTCCGCATCGGTGTAAGAAATAAGGCCACTTATAGAGGAGGAATAAAGATGAAGACCGAGCTGCAAAGTGCCTTGAAGGTATCTCAAGATACGACGAAGGGCATGCATGTATTCTTTCCGTGGATCATGCATATACAAACAAACTTGTTGCACGGCGTAGGAAATGTCGGGTCTCGTGAAATTTAAATATTGAAGGGCCCCGACCAAGCTACGGTACAAGGTGGGATCATCAATTGTCGACCCGGAAGAGGAGCTGAGCTTGGCTTTGGTGTCTACAGGAGTGGCAGACGACTTGCAAGAGGACATGTTGGCACGAGCAATGATGTCGGCTGCATAGGATGTTTGAGAGAGAAAGAGACCACCAGAGTGTCTAGTAACCGAAATGCCAAGGAAGGAGCTTAGAGGACCGAGGTCGGTCATAGCAAACTCGGAGCTTAGGCAGGACATGATGGTAGTCCGGAGGGTGTCGGAGGAGGTGGTGAGGACTATGTCATCAACATATAAGAGAATGTATGTCAAATCACGACCATGGGAGTAGATGAAAAGAGAGTTGTCGGACTTGCTATGAGAGAAGCCAATAGTTGCCACAAAAGAAGAAAACCGATGATACCAAGCCCGGGGGGCTTGTTTGAGAACATAAAGAGCCTTTTTGAGAAGGCACACATGACCCGGTTTTTCCTTATCACGAAGACCGGGTGGTTGATGCATATAGACAGTTTCAGCAATATCACCATTTAGAAAAGCATTCTTGACAAACGGTGGAAATAGTTATAGTTAGGAACTTTGATGAGTTCATTTATGGCACTCATTTGATCTCTTTTAGGATGATTTTCATTCCATTTTGTAGCTCTTTTCCTTAGTTTTTCTTAGTTTTGCTCTTTATTTTGTTAGTTTGTGCTTTTCGTAGTTAGTTTCCTTGTTTTGTGCATTTCTTTGTTTATTTGTTCTTTTTCCCTTTTATTTGTTTGTTTTCGTTTGTTTTCAAGTTATGATCGTGTTTCCAAAGATTCCCGAGCCTTCCTCTTACATTTCTCATCAAGTTGGATGCCTCGTGTTCGCTTTTGGAGCTTTAAGTTTGAAGGAACGTAAGGAGAAAGTCAAGAGATCGGTGCACGTATGCGGTGGGGGCATCATCTTTGCCACAAACCCACCAAATTATGCATTTCAAGACTGCCTACCTTGGTGTTCATCATCATCACCAAGACGAGCGCACGAGGTTGAGCTAGGACAAAGAAGGGGATGTGTGAGCTGCCACCAGGTGCGGGCGCGCACGTGCAAGGTGCGGCCTCGCATCTGGGTGGTGTGGCCGCACCTGCCTGGGTGCCTTGTTCCGTACCCTTTTTCGTGCGCCCGCACCTCCTGGGGTCTCTTTTTGGACGATCCAACCAACTCTTCTTTTGTATCTTTCTTATATATAGTATTTCCTTCTATTTTTAAAGAGAGAATCAATTAGATAACAATTAGAGAACTTTTGAGATCATATTTTAGAGAGAGAAACTTTAGGTTTTTAGAGAGAGAAATTCATGGTTGATTGTTGATGATTCAAGATTTCTTCATTTCATTTGATCTTTGATCAAGTATTGTAAGGATTACTATAGACACCCATTTGTGTCTCCTCAAAACCAAACCTAGTGATGAGTGCCTTTCACGTCGAATCATAATCGAATGAAGTGAAAGTGTGGAAAGTCTAGTGTTGCGGATAGTTTTAATTTCTTTTCTCTTCTCTCTATTTTTGAAAACTTATTTTAAGAAAACAGCCAATCCAGTTTGGTTGGTCCATGACATGGGTCCAATAGTAGTGTAGTTGGATAGGGCTTGACAAGAGCTTTCCAACGATATATTATAAGCCCAATTCCAATGAATATTGAGGAAGTTATGGCCAATTTACTGAACTGGGCCCGATCTAAGCCTTATATGCGGCCCAATGATCTAGGGGAGGGCCTAATATAGATTTATCATTCCTAATGAAATTAGGAATGGTTTTAGTCTTCTAGATTCTTGTAGAAGGTTTTTTTCATTCCTAATTCAATTAGCATTGATAAATTGACTTTTGTTGACTTTTCAGATTTTTAATTTAAATCAAAGAGCATTTTTGAGGAAAATACGATTTTATCCTCCTGTACGGCAATTTTTTATCTGATTTTAAGAAAACGCGTAATTTTCCAGATCAGCGCCAAACGCCAGCTGTAGCGCCTGGCGCCAACGCTGTGGTTGTTTTTTTTTGTTCGCCAGACTCTGTTTTGATAATTTTATCTTTTTGGCTGATTTTCTTTATAAATAACGTCGTAAAAACTCCGTTTTGATTCACCTACAACCAGTTTTCATTCGCAATCATCAATTCTCGCATTCTCTCTATTTTCATCAACTCTCATCAAGATTCTCTTGATTACTCTCTCTCTTTTTCTAAACTAGCTTTTTACATACAAAATTCCGCATTCATTAGATCTAGATACACCTAGCCATAATTCGAAGTTGCCTTCGCCCTAGATGTGAAAGGTTTAATTTCTGAGGGTTTGGTCCCAAATCTCTATTTCAATTATTTTATTTAATTGTTTTGATTTTATTATTTTCCTTGAAGTTACTAACGTGTGTATTTTGTTATTATTAGAAAGAGGTACGAGGCATCAAAGTAAGTACTTTAATGGTTTTTATTGATGTTATGATGTAGAAATCATGTTTAGATTGTTATTATGATTCCTAGTATCATGTCTAAGGTAACTTTAATATCAAATATGATTGTATGATGCCTTTTATGTTCTTCCTAATATTTATGATTGTTAGTATCATGTTAGGGTTAAAGATTTGATTTTAATATGCTTAGTGACATGCTAGGGTTTGTTATTAACCTTGTTAGTATCATGCCTAGGATCTTGCTATTATTATGCTTTAACGTTGATATGATTATTTTAATTATAATATATGATTATAATTTTATGTTTTTTATTATGATTATTATAATTGTTATTATAATTATTATTATTATTATGATGATTATTTATTATGTTGCTTGATTATATTATTGTTATTGCTTGATCACACCTTTTATGCATGTTCAAAGGGAATTTTGTACTTGTAATCACGCTTAATAAGATAATTAGTAATCTTGTTTAGGGTTAATTTGATTATAATTCAAGTGATCGCCAATAATAGATTTATTTGTGCATTAATATTCAACCAACATAGATAAACATGTTTAGGGTTAATCCTATTGATTTCATGTTAGTCAGAAATCACACATGAATACGATCAGAATAAAGTAGAGGCCGATTATTAGGGCAGGTTCAATCTCTTTTAGGTTGGATTTGTACCTTCATCTCCGAACCCTTATTTGGTTCAAGACCTTATGGAGTTGACGATCTCTTGGATCGTTAAGGGGTGTAACCTTCACCCTGTGAACGGTTTACAAGTTCCTAAAAAAAACTTGTTGGCGACTCTTTTGCTCTATCTTCTTCCCTTTTTGGACGCCACCGTACTTTAGTGTATGATCACAGTGGGGTTCAAGCTAGGGGATTAACGCTTGAAATTATTCCCTACAATTACTCTTCTTTGATTCAATATATAGTTTGATCTTAGTTGATTTCATTTGTTTTTCATATGCTTGGTTAATTGTTTTAGTTTGATTGATCTTTGATTGAAGTTTGATTGATTTTTTTATTGATTTTAGATTTCTTGAAATGATCATGATGAATGTGTTGATTAGTTTTGTTTTGATCTTAATTACCATGACTAGTGAGTAGATTACTTGCTAGGGCAATGGTGAAGCATGTATGAGTAATGGATTAGTGCTAATTGGGGATAATTAATGGAGTTGATAGTGTGATTAAATTTGGTTGATGATCATGTGCATGTGTGTGATTAATTGAAGATTGGCCAACTTTGATTGTTGCACTAGATTGCATTGTAAGTTCACATTGATACGGACCATTGATTTGTGGCTTGCATTTACACGATTGAGGTGTCTTGTGATGTTTCCTAGCTAGAGTTTATCGTAGTTGACGCTAGTTAGACCTCTAGAAGAATAGCTTGATATGCTCTATTGGTTGCATGATTGATCTTCCCTCGCATTGTTTAACTTAGACAATTTGACCTCCCAATTAGTCAATTCCATTATGAATGCATGTGGATCCTAGCCCTAGTGCTTATTGCATTTGATTTCTTCAAGCTTATTTATCGTGTTTGTCCTAGTTAGAATTCACAACCCTACCTATAGACTTCGGGATAGCTTGACTATAGACGATAGACAATAGCCCACCATTCCTTTGGGTTCGACCCTTGACTTACCATATACTAGAATAGGGTTGGCTAAGTGTTTAAAAATTTTGTTTGACCGTTGTCAAACTTAAAGAGTGCAAAGAAGATTTTACGAGGATACCATCCAGTGTCTAGCTGGAAGTAAAACCTCGGCCCTATTGGGACTTATAAACAAATTCCACTATAATAGGCAACTCTTCTAGTACAACCTATTACATAGACCTTTGCTTTGCAAGTTCCACCACGGACACTTGCCTATATGATAGGACACCTCCTACTAGACCTAAGACACCTCCTAGGACCCTTTTCTCCCTTTACCCAGGACACTTCCTAGGTGACCCAAGACACCTCTCAAGCTCCTTTCACTCATTGTGCACTCACTGTGCACTCACAGCTACCACTCGAATTTTAGAGAATTCAAACTCATACACAAATTAAACGTGAATTTAAGAGAATTCACAATCTCACCCCATAATACAAAACACTCAAAACCCTTTTTCCCATTACAAGATCTCATTGAATATCCCTAAAGACATATCTATGAATAAAGAGATAAAACTAATATGTTGGACACTTGAGACCTATCTAGAACTCACTGGACGTATTGTAACCAAAACCTGATAGGAACTTTGACTAGGAGAACTCACTTAGCTTCGTGGTGAAGGATAAAACCATTAAGCACGACCGCTACACTTCGTCAGCCTCAACTTTGAATGAATACATATGAGCATATTTATAGTACACTCGAATTATTCATTTCATCTTGAAAAAGATAGATTTTTAGAAAAGATAAGTTTAAAAGATATTTTCTAAAAAATCAGTTTTCCGAAAATATATCTTTTTGTTAAGGATAAAATCTGTTATGGATAATAAGATATAATTAACATAAAATCAGATTTTATTCCAATCTTATCTTTTTGTTTAAAAATACTTTTTAAACAAAATTATATTTTTCCAAAAGGGATTTATTAGAAGATAAATATCTTTATTCAGTAAAACCAAATCCCTTAAAGATATGCACGTATTAGGTAAATATATATATCATTAAACCCGACTTTTAACGACGTGCATACTTAAGTTCCTATTAGGTTCCTGAACTCTGACAGTCTCTGAGTTCCTGACAAGTCAGTCACTCTAATTTCATTGACTGTTTGGAGTTCACCTTGGTTCTATATAGACTTGTTCCAGACCGACTTTTATGTCCAACATACTTACATTCTCCTAGAGCAATATACTTCTATTTCTCTGTCTTCATGTTGCTTCTCTGAAACTCTTGTTCTGGAATCCTGAAGTCTTGATATATTCTGGATCTTAGGGTTTGCCCAAGCATTACACCGGAACCAGGTCGTTACAACCCGTTGATATGTTCCTGTCAGGAAACACCTTTGCCCCAGCATTACACCGGAACCAGGTCATTACAACCCGTGGTATGTTCCTGTCAGGGAACGCCTTGAAGT